CTTATCATTGTTTTCTTCTGATCAGATGTACCTAAATAGTAAAACTTTGCTAATAAACTTGGCCAAGTCCAGCATTTAAAAAAAAAAAAACAATAGTTCTCAATCTGATAATTTGGATTGTGAGTATTATTATATTTTTTTATAGCTAAGCTGAGGGTCTGTAGCTTATCTACTGTATTTTTTTTAATGTCTCTGCTTTGTTGAATAGTTTTTTTAGCTATAGGGCTTTTCTGTAACTGATAAATTCGGTATTGTGCTTGAAGTGCTTTTCTTTTACTTGGGATGTTTTCTTAATTGCTAACTTGTTAAAGATTGCTTTACATAACAATTTCTTGAAGGTATCTCACAATTTGTTTAATTGATTCTTCCTTTCATCTGAATTGGGTTCTTCTTGTAATAGCGGTTCCAGTGATATTTTAAATTTATGATCTACATTTTCACCAAATACTTGCCATTGAGATGGAGATATACTTTTTATATTGATTCTCCTTTGTATACTCATAGGAGGTTGTGTAGTTCTGCTTCTTATGAAAGGGTTTTTGTCATGTAAAGTTATCAGGAGCATGGTATAGTCACTACCCATAACATCTTCCATATCTTGATTGTCAAATCGGAGTAGTGAATAACTTGTTAGACTATGAGAGATCCAAATATAGTCTATTCTACTACTGCTTGTTAGGTTTCTTCTTGTTGGTGTTTTTTCTTTGCCTTCCCATGTGGCTTGTATATCTATAAAGTCCCATTCATTAAAAAAGTTGAATAGTGGGATTTCAGGTCACCATTATGGTCTGAAGCTTGCTTTTGAGGAGGACTTTTTGTCTTTTGATGGGTTGTAGGCTGCATTAAAATCTCCCATTACTATCGTATAGAAGCCTTGTTCATGTTTATTTTAATAAGGCTAGTTATCTTGTTCTGTACCATTTTGTATCTTGGTTTGTCTGAAGAAATATAGATCTGTATAATATAGATCTTTTTCTTTTTAATAAGCATGTTGATAACAATAATATATCCTTTTTTTTTCTCTACTAATGCAATCTTTTTTTCCAAATCTCTTCTGATTAAGAGACTAATTCTTGCTTCAAATAGTGTGTCTTTGTTGATGTTATGGAAGTGCTTATAGTTTTTCTGATTATTGAAAGCCCATTATGCATTAGTTTCTGTCAATTTTGTTTTGCATAACTCCAGTATGCCTATTTCTTATTCTAGTATCTCTTCAATTAAGTTTTGCTGCTTTGTTTTATCTGTAATTCCTCTAACATTGTGTGTATCTAATCTGATTACCTTTTTGCCTATCTTATTCTCATCTTTGGTTTTTCCTATTAATCTATGTTTATTATTATTCCAAAATTTTTTCCGTTCTTCTTGTAAAAATGTTGCAATATTTATATTTTCCTCCTCTTCTATTCTGGAACTACTTTTTAAAGTTCATTTGTTGCCCATATTTGTAGTTTTTGATGAGGAAACAATGGGCTGTTGCTTCTCTGGGTTATTATTAAGGACTAGTATGCCTTTAAGAGTGATTTGCTCCCTTATTACTGAGTCTTGGTCTTCTGAAACCTGTTTATTCCTCTAAAGTATCTATTCTAGCATGTAGTCTTTCTAGGTTGACTAGAATATTCATTAAAGGATCTTGTGTACTTTCTATTTTTGGTCTTATGTTGACTTCAGAAGATCTATTTCTATAGCTTCGTTGATTTCTAATAGGTTCTCTATTGCTTCCCATTATAGGATATTCTTCTCTGTTGTTTCTTTCATGTTAGTATTTTATACTTTGCTATTTACAATATAATAAAAAAATTAAAAATACAAAAATAATAAAATATATAGGAGATAATGGTCAATCTCAAAAAATTATAAAGAGAGTATTGTATATATTGAATCAGTATATACAACAAGATCAAACAATTTTAATGAAAACCTTAATAACAAAACTATAAAAAATAGATATTAACAAGGGTTATAGGACTGTTGAATATTATTTGACTTTTCTTAACTATCAAAAAAATCACTTACTAGTAAAACTGATGCTTAGAGAAATATATAAAAAATATATACTGCATATATAAATTGTGCATATTAATATTTAAATGATAACTGGAACTATATAGTTTTTATTGATAAGACAATTTTTTATTTATTTTAGAATACTTTAAAATAGTAATATAAATATCCATAATTAACTTATATTATTCCTAAAGATTAATAAAAAGTTTTTACTTAAGATAGTTTTTATAAAAAATGAAGATTTGATTTATTTTGTTTTAAAAATATAATAAATAGTAACTTTTATATAAATATTCTTTGCTTACATCTTTATGAAATCAATAATGTATTAAAAACTCAATAGCGTTTACAATAGAATAATAATTCAAAACATATATATAAGATTATTTAAGTATTTATTACAAAGAAATTATTGATTGACTTATTAACTCTTTTAATTTAAATCCTAGCTAAAACTTATAATCAATTGTTAAAAATAATATAGAAAAGTAAATACCATGAAATTATGACTAGTTAATACTATTTATGAAAGAAGAATGGTATAAAATTTTTTGATCTACCTTAATTGGATTAATAAGATTAATAAGAAAATATTATGAGATGTTTATTAAGCAAAATAGGAAAAGAATATTATATTAATTTTTTATGTAATAAATTTATATATGTTGATTTTCTAATGATATATTTTTTATCAAATTTGATAAAACCAATAAAACACTATAATTTTTTCTTAATTAAATATTATATATTAAATATTTATTTTTTTTTATAAACAATTTATAAGTATTTAAAATAATTTTATATAATTATTATTTAGATTAATATAATAAAATAATTTGTAAAAAATTTATTAAGAAAATGTTTTTGTAATAAAAAAAAAAATTAATTTTTTTTTAACTTTAAATATATTTTACTAATTATAAAAATAAAAAATGTAGTCCAATTATTTTTGGCTATATTTAATAAAGTATAAATAAATTATTGATTTAACCAATCACATTTAAGATCATAATCACTAAATATCTATGATTGGCTTAAAGCACAGCATTTTTATCATTCCTATGTCAAGTCGAGGAAATCGCTTTTTACATCATCCTTCTGGTACACATTGGAGGCCAGTTGCAATACGGCCACCGGCCCCTACTAACCCAGTATTCATAAATGCGTTTCCAAATTATGAAAGCGATAGCGATAGTGATAGACCAAGACCCTATGATGTGATATTCGATAGTTCTTCAACTTCTCCTGCTGCGAGTACGTCTAGTCCTTCACCACAGGAGACACCGGAGATACCAATACATGGAAGAGTGGACATGACACCCAATGTAAATGATACGGAATCAAACAATCAACCAGGTTGCTTAATATATAGAACTTTTTTTTTAAATCGAAATTATTTTTAATGAAACTCTTTTAGAATCAAATAGTGTAGACATATCAGGCATTCAAGATTTACACGTAACGACTAATTCTCCGGAGAGTCAGAGTCATATATTTGACGAAGAGAATGAAACTATACTACAAGAGCAGATTGAAGATGGTGCGTATGTGATCCAAGAAATATGATCACAATGAACAAGTTTATATTAAATATTGAATTATTATCCAATAAGATCCTTTAAAGCAATGCATGACCAAACTGCGTCAAATTGTGCAACAGTTGGATGAAGACGCGTGGCAATTCATAAATTCAGACAATGAATTTTCGAAATTCTGATTCCAAGATTTCAAATAGGAATAATTATATACTGTATCAATTTCCAATGTTCACCTCAATACTTTATAAAATTAATATAACATCAATAACTGTATAATTTAATCCCTTATAAGATCATTAAATACTGTATAAGATATTCATAGTAAATATATATTGTAATTCAATATTTTAAAATATATAATCTCAAAATTATATATTTTTATAATCTTTAATTTTAATACAGTAATTTATTAAGTCAATAAAAAAAACTTTTTCTGCTAATCCTCTGCTTATATACAAAAAAGATATTTGTAAAAAATTTTACTAATAAAATCTTAATATTATTCTTAAACCAACTTGAAATTTTACTTCAAGAGATATTCCTAAAACTTTTTTTTTATTTATATTCATCTTCAAACAAAAACTTGACTTTCTGTAATCTAGAAAAGTCAAGAAACACTTTCTCTATCTATTACAAGAAAGTTCTATAAAAAAAAAAAGTAATAGTATAATACTTAAAGCCTTTCATATTGAAGCATGTCTATAGAGGTTTTGTACAATAAGAGATAACAAACATTAAGCCATATTTTCAAAGTGTCTATCCACTGTTTCTTTCTTTTTATAATTGTCCAAAATTTTTTAGTTTTCTGAAGAATTTTTCTATCTCAATTTAATCCTAAATTTTAAGTAACATAATTTATTGTAAAATATAATTGATGAACACAAAACATGTTGATAGTTAAATATAAACAAGTACCTATTGATTACCTTACATGTTCTGATGATGTCATTAATGATAGAAAAAGTTGATTAATATCCTATTCCTGCTTCATTTCTTTAATTGAGTTAATCTATAGATCAAGTTTTATGAGATCAATAATATACAAGTAACAAGTTTTCAGGTAATGAAAAAGCTACTATTTTTTCAAACTAAGGTTTTTTTCTCTTATTATTTTAATTATGCAAAGTTCAAGATCAAGATCTTTTTTTTATCCTAGTTAGGCAATAAAACTAAACAGTCTCTAGTTTATGCTAAGTTCTAACTTTTTGGTTATAATTGAAAATGTATTTTTTCAGAAATTATTGAAGGATATCATAATTGACAAGAATCCCTGTTATTTTTGAGATCTTTCTATTATTACAAAATAAAAAAATTATTGAAAAATTTGACTTTTTGAATAATAGAAGATGTTTACCAATAAAATTCCTTTAACTAGGCATAGTTGCTAAAAGATATTATACTAAACAATATAGTTCAATCCTTACTAGATTATATAAAAATCTGAGATTTATTATTTATTATCTTTCTATTATAGATATATAAAAAATTACTATTTAAAAAAAGTTAAAATCATGTGTATTTTAGAAATAAAGACTTCCACTAGATAATAAGTTTTCTTAAACAGTATATAAGAAGAAAATCAAAATTAAAAATAGATAAGTTCTTTAGATAGTTAGAAGAAAAAAAGATATTCCAATCAGATATTTCTTATTGAGAATAAGTCTTGAGAAATAGGTCTTGAAAGGAAGCTGAAAAATTTTATTTCTTTTTATTTTCTTATAAGTCTATTTAGATATTTTTAAATATTTTCTTTTCCTTTTTATTATTCATCTTTTTGTAGTTTCTTATATTTAAGTTAGCTTGATAGAACATTTGATAGTAACAATCTACTGATAATAAAGCAATATACTAGAAGGGTATTTATCCAAATATTATTATGGAGTGAAATATTGTTCTCAAGATCAAACTTAAAGCTATTATTGCTTATAATGAGTTTGCTAAATTTGATAGAAATGGTTAACTATAGTATATATTATACTATTCAAGTAAAAATATACTTATGTTTTCAAATGATTAATAAATTATAATCTAGCCTAACTATAAATATACAAAAAAAAAACAATAATTTATTAAGTCAAATTAGTATAACAGTTTATTAATTTTATAAATATTTGATACAAATATATTCAAGCTTATATATATCAATTTTTTTTTTTTTTAACTTGCAATCAAATTAGTATAACATGTCTTTATTATATATGCTAGATATTTATAAATTTTTACAACTTTCACATATTAACTCACTTGTTATCGAAAAACTATTTCTCTAAATGCAACTTAGAAAATAATATTTCATTTTTTTACTAATTTGAATAACTTCTCTAATTAATAAAATCATTGTCTACAGATTATTACTATAGATCATTCTAAATTTTATCTACAGTTAAAAATCAAACCATTTAATTTCATGACAAACCCAATCCTTAATAATCACTATATACTTCTTTTCTTCTTTTTCTTTAGTGCCTTCTAGATTCAGATATTCCAAAGGTAATAGTACTACTTATTGGTTCTATTCAGTTTGTATATTAGATCTGTGCTTGTGTTTATTATTTCTTTTATCATTTTCAATAATTTTTTACTTCATTTTTCATTCTATAATTTTGATATAATAATTATTCCAGATTTTCTTTTTAAAGTTTATTTATATTTTTTAACAAAGCTTGTCAATTATACTCTGTGTAGTTACAGATAGGATCTTGAGTTACTCTTTGAGATATTTCTTCAAGGAAGTGATCTTATCTTCTTATATATATTAACAAATAGTATTGAAAAGACTTCTATCAGATTTTTTAATCTCTTTTAACTATTTCTCTGTTCAATCATTTATTGCAGATTGGACTTCTTCTTTATCTTTAACTTTTTTACTAATGTATTTATAAATCTTTTTATTTGCTTTTTGTCATATGTCTTTCCTGATTTTTCTAATAGTTGGTGTTCAAAGAGATGTTCTAATATCTCTTATTGAAGTTTGCATACTAGACAAGTGGTTATAGTGTATATATCTAGTTTCTTTTTCTTAAGTATTGTAGGATTGAAAGTTTATTGTGGGTTAGATTGGTTAGGAAGCTTTTATCTTTATTGGTCTTGAAAGAGATATCAAAAGTATTAGTTAGATTGAACTGATTTCAAAAGATTGGCCAATCTATAACTTTATCATTTTAAATTCAAAAATCTTGAATTCTTTTTTGTGTTATCCAGTCTAGATCAATTTGTTTCTTATTGAATATTTTGATGAAATCTTTAATACCAATCTCTATTGTATATTCTTTCCATATAGCTATTGTGAGAACCCTTTCTAGCTTTGGTAGCTGATACCAAGTTATTGGATTTTCTTGTTTAGCCTATTTGCAAATAAATTTATTTGATTGATAAATCTGTTGATTCTATAAGTTTTGATCTTCAAGATTTTCAAATTTAAATATTTCTTCTTTACTAGATCTTTGATTTTATTATATAGTGATCAGTTGGTAATATTTATCCATCTTCTCATTGATGTCTCTATTTGTAAGCAGATATATTTCTATACTTTGACTGCAATGTTGCAATTAGTGTGAATCATAACAATCACATTTTGAGAGGCAGTATATAGTACAGTAAGAATAGTTAATATTTCAGCTCTTATTGTAAACAGCCAAGTGAAAGCTTTTGCTAAGAACTGTTTAATCACTTTGTTATCCTTTATTAAGATTCAAGCTAAACCCATCTTGAGTTCATAGTTTGTCATCACCTTTTTATAGGAACTATAAATGTAAAAAGTAAGCTGATTAATCATATTTCTTCTGTTATATCTTAGAATACTTATAAGTTCATCTTTATATTCTTTTATTTATATGGCTTGTTCTATTAGTGTAATATTTCAGTCTTTCACTTGGATCTCTACTTCTATAGGTTTAATGGTTGATAGAGTTACTATTTGATGATATATGTTTATTTGCCATTCAATAGGATTTTTTGACAAAATAATCTGTTTACTTTTTCTCAGATTGTTATATCTATTTAGTTGTAGAAGAAGACAAACTTGTGATAAAACTATTTCTATTGATTGTATTGTTCTATATGATTGGAAATAAGTATGATTACTAGTAAAGTTAGATACTAGCTAATATGATATAAAATGGAGTTTATTGTTTACAAATATTATCTTTCTTAATATATCTATCAGAGTATTAATATAGATTACCCAATGTGTTTTCCTTTTATCTAGGTTTGTTGGGAATATTTCAGTCTATATATTGTAAATTGTCTATTAAAGTTTGTATAGAGAGTTTCATAGGAGATCTTGATTTATTGTTATCTTTTCACAAACTTTTTTATACTAATAGAAACTGGTTCCTTGCATCTGCTAAAAAGAATTTGAATTGTTCTTCATTTTTTAAGTATCATCATAATAGTATTAATAAGCTGATCTAAGAACATAATCTTATATTTGTATAGTTATAGAATTATCTTTTCATATTTCTATCATCTTGTAATATTGATTTAATAGATAAAATACTTTCCTGATAATCAAATATTTTCTTTCATCTTCAACTTTGGAAGGTAATTTGTATACTTTTTGTCAAAGCCAGTATTGTAGCTACCAAATTTCCTTTAATTAACTTTTAAGAATCGATAGGATTTTTTAGAATATTATCAGGTTTTTAACATTTAATTTGATTCTGTTTAGTTTAATTATAGTGGTAATACCAGAGGCCTTATTATTATTGAGTTGATAGAAAAGTACAGATATATAGCTTTCTAGTTATATTTTCCAAATGCTCTTGAGATTATATATTTTTTTGTTATGAATACAACTGTTTGGAATTTTTTCACAAACTAAAGCCTTGTTCTTGAATACTTTTCTAAACATAGTTGTGAGCTCATTGCATGTCTTTTCATTCAGATATATATGTTGTATTCTATATTCTATTATTGAAATCAGGACCTTGTTAATAATGTATCAGATATTTTTTTTGTCAACTTTTTCTTAGTTATTGTCTGAATTACTGTTCTGATTTCT